TCTATCCTCTCTGCTGCTCTTGCGCCGCCCCTTCCTCGTCCTGTGCCCCACGCCCCCTCCCCCCGCCCCCCATAGCGGCGTCGCCTCTCAGAGAAGTCAGCCTTGGATCCGTTCGCGAGAGCGGTGCTCCCGACCGACCGCCCCCCCCGTTCGCATGCGTTCAGGATCCCTGGAAGCAGGCTGCGACCCCCCTTCTACAGACCACGGCGCCACGGTGCAACATGAGGAGGGAAGCACCGGCATGGTGCATACCAGTTGCACCATATCCGAATGCATGCCCGAACGATACCGGACTACACGGATTTCGTAAACAAAGTTTTAATTTCATGTTGAGAGACCCGCATACGTGAATCTTCGCCCCCTCCTGCAGGGGCGCGTCTAGAGCGAAGATAGCAGCGCGTCTGTCCGAAACCTTTCTCTCGCGACCGTTTCCCTGGAGGGGGGGCCCGGCCCGCCGAGGCTTGGGCGCAGCGATTTGCACGCGGCAAGCCGCCCGTCAATGCGATGGCTCAAGGCCGCGGCCAGCGGGCGCGCCGCGCCGGAGCTAGTAGCAAGCGCGCGAGCTCCGCTCGCGACACTCACTGGCTTCATAGGCATCCTTTTTGCAAGTGTAACCCATGCCACCACGACTCGCAAGAATGGAGATCGCGGCCCGCGCAAGGCGGGGCGAGAGACATTACGTGCCAAGATGCGCCGCTTCTTAGACCGTCAGCGCGACGCGAGCGTCATCGACCCGCGACTGCACTTCAATTGCGCCTGGGCTTCATTTGAACAACGCCTGCGCGCGCAAGTGGGCGACGCTCGAGCGTGTGAGCCGAGACTCAGGATTGCGGCAGGACGTCCCGTGCTGCGACTGCGCTCCGCGCGCGGCACCGCGGTGTCTCGCGCGTCGCACGCGCGAGGCAGCGACTTTTTTTTGCGCCGCCATTGCGCGCCAGGCCGAGTGCTTCGCCATCGCCCGCACTAGCGGCTAAGCTGGCAAAACAACGCGGAACCAATGTGCACCCGAAGTTACGATCCCGCAGCAAGTTTACGCGCGCGGCGTTGGTCATTATTAGTTCGGCATTCGCGCGCTCGTTTTTCAAGCCGCCCCGCAGACTGCCTTGCAGTTTCTGCAGATCCAGCCATCACGAGCGCGCCCGCGCCCCGCGAACACTGCGCGCCACGTACCACTCGCGGGTGCGACCAGAGACGGCATGCGTCTGATCTCATGCATCGTCTGCGCTACCAGTTGTTTGTGCCATGTAGGGCAGCGGCGATGGCGACCTTTTGAGATAACCGCTGCGCTGTGTAGCGTGGAACTACCACGCCGTACTACACGAACATAGGGTGTGTTGCTTATTTTTTCTATGACACACCCTGTTGCGCGCAGGCGTTTTGCACAATCAGACGGCTTGCTAGCCGAAGTGCCCGCATCTCCGCGCCTGCCCATTCTGCGCGCGCGGTCGCAGCGCCTTGTATGGAAGGCTCTCCGGACCGAGGCGTGGGGCGTTGCCAGACAATGGAGATTTGCCTTGGAAGTTCACAGGGGCTTTCTGTCCGAGCCGCCTGAGCTCAACCCTCCACCCCCCGCGCGCTGCTGCGCGCAATGGTCGGGATGTCTCTCGCGTGGGACTGGCATGATGTGGCGGCGCTGCTTCTCGCAGAGTATACTGCGTCGCTGATGCCTGGCGAGTTTCTTAACGCTCGCCGCAGCGACCTCTCTCTGCCGCGCGACCGCCTCGAGTCTCGCGGCGACGCCTTCCAGTCCATCGCAGCCCCGCAGACCCGGGGGCCTCGCCCCGCGCAGCTGCATGCCCACAGTTCGGATCGGGCCACGGGGAAGATCATGGCGCCTGCGTTCCGCCAGTTGGGAGCCACCGATCCGCCGACGACCGTCGGTCAGAGCGGGTTCCGTCCTCGGTGGAAATACGCATTGAGTGAGCTCGGCGCGCTGCTCGGAGCCCCCGCGGGTTTTCATGTGAGCCGCGTTTGCCATCGCAGCTCTGACGCCGCTGGTTTCCACGTCGCAACCGATGGGCCCCCGCGCGTTTTCTGGCGCAGTCTTTGGCGCCAGGCATCCAGCGCCGAGCGCTTTTTTGCAGGCAGCTGCGGCCTCGTCTGTCCTTGCCGCCCTTCTCGAACCAGTTCGCGCTCGGGTTACCTGCTTCTCTACTGCTAGCGACTCCCTTTGTCGCTTCCTCGTGCCTCGCCAGCGCTGATAATGCTGATTCTATTGTCCTCACCTCCTTCGCAGTGGCAGGCGCGCGCACCTTCTCCGCCCCGCTCTTTCCACCCTCCTCCGGCTTGCCTGCGGTGCTGCTACGGACTCCTCTCGGCCGTCTTGGTGCCCCCGTCGGACGTGGCCACCTGCGAGCGCCGCGCGGCGCGTGCCGCGGCGGCCCGGCCCGCCGTCGACCCACAGCGCACGCGCCGCACGCTCGCTTCGAGACGAATGCTAGCCAGCGCGGAGCGCGGGAGAACCACCGCCATCATCATTTGCATGTTTACTATCACCGTCACCTTCCTCACCATCAACACTACCATTACCACCATCATCGCTATCACCATCAGCATCCATATCATCGTCATCATCAGCATCATCACAGTCATCATCGCCACCATGACCAATCATTACTATGGACGTCGTCATCAACACCCCCCTCACCATGATCATCACCAAGGTCGCCGTCAGCATCATCCTATCTATCGCCCGAGCAACCATTGATGCCTTCATCGTCGTCTCCACAGTATTTAAATATGTATATGTATGCACATACATCTATGTACGAACTAGTGAAATAACTGCCGTGCTGACGTCATGGCCATGACCTTCGACGTGATGCCGGCCGCGCTATTTCTACGACCAACATGATAGTGCCGCCGCCGTTGATTATTCAAGGTTTTCGCGTGTATAAGAACTTGGCGGTCTGCTTTGAAATCGGATGGTGGCGGTGTTGCTAGGATATTTGTAATTTAACTCAGATATGATTATCTCATTAAACAATCAGACTGTTTGGGCGATGGCCCGAAATCCTGTAGCCCTTTGCTGTTCAAGAAAAAGAGCAGCCCTCCATCCTCCTCTCTCCGCGACGGGCGTAGGGGAGCGCGTGCATGGTAGCGGAGCTCGCTTGAGGTTCGCGGGCCAGCTCCGCACCCGGCGAGCTCCAGGAGCCCCTCGAGGAGGCCCAGCGGCGGCGCGCCGCGGGTCCAGCGGCGGAATGGCCGCGGAAGCAGTTGCGAGACGATCCGCGCTGCTAGCAAGCAGAATGCCCCTCGCTGGCCAGAGCGGCGGGCGGGCCCGCGCCCTGGCAAGGAGGTCAGACCCAGTGTTCGACTCCAGCATTCGAGCATGTTCAAGGCCAAGGCTGCGAGCAAGCTCAAGGCCAAGAGGGCGAACAAGCGCGGTGGCAGAGCCTCAGAGGCTAGAGCCCACCGCCAGAACCGAGGGGGCGCCAGGAGGAAGCTGGCCGAGCGCGGCGACGCGACTCAGCTCACGGAAGAGGAGCGAGCAGCGGTGAAGCGACAGCTCGCGCCCGATCTCCAGCGCCAGGCGAAGGCCGACGAGGAAGATGGAAGGTCAAGTGCGAGAATTGGTCGAGCACGTGCAGAGGCTGACGACGGAGAGTCAACAGATGAGGACGGATCTTCAGCAGCGAGATCTAGCGATAGCCGATATGCGAGGCCAGCTTCAGGGACAAGCCGACAGAGAACGAGGTCCTCGTGGCGATATGATGGAACCGGAGATTCTTCACAAGGTACAGCCGTTCGACAGTGAGAGACGTTCAGCACCCAGTACAAAGCTTACCTGATCGTGCAAGACAGAAGGTATCGACCTCTTCTCGAGAAGCGCGAAGACGGAGCGCAAGACGTAGACGACGTGAGCTTTTCAGCTCAAGAGGAGGAGCTCAGCGCGCAGATGCACTTCGCCCTGGCCCTGGTCAGTCCCGAGGACTCGGTGGGCGAGATGGTCGCGAGGAACAGCAGCTCGGGCGAAGGAGCGGCGTGCTGTAGGCAGCTGCAGAAGGAGTACAACCCGAGCGAAGCAGGCAACGTGCTAGCTCAAGGACCACGGCGAGTTGCAGAAGCGCGTGTTTCGGAACAGCAGTCGGCTGAACACGTACGAGCCCTTGCGCGCCCAAGCCGCGTCGGCGTTGACGGCGGGGCGAGCGGCCCACGAGGACCCGATGGGCACCTGCGGGCTGATGGGCGGCAAGAGAGCGCGGAAAGGCCGCGGCAAAGGCAAGGAATGCAATGGCAAGGAGAGGGCGCCGAACCCAGACGCCGACCTGAAGTGGAACTACTGTCGCAAGAAAGGCCACCGCAGCGCCAACTGCTGCAAGCGGATGGCCGACGAGAAGAAGGCAGCCGCCAACCACGACAACAAGGACAATAAGCAGCGCTGAAAAGAAAAGGTCAAAGAGGAGAACGCAGCAGCGGCAGTAAGAGAGCTCGAGAGGTTGCGACAAGCAGGAGTAGCCCCAGCGACAGGGTCGACGGTGCCCACGCAGCCTCCGCCAGGGACACACAGCAGCGCTGAAAGCGCAGTGACCTTGCCAGTCACCTTGCCAGTCTGCAGAGGGCTGCAAGCGAAGATGTTTCTGGCCCTGAGGGCCGAGGTCACAGAGCTCGAAACCACAGGATCGACTGGGAGTGCACCTTGCCGTCCCACAGTGAGTTCATCTGCAGCTCGTGCAAGAAGATGTTCAGGGGCAGAAGGTGGCACTATCATGAGTGGGAGCTGGACTTTCTGCGAGGCATGCGCAGAATACTGCCTGGACAAGCGCAGGCACTCGAAGTTCAACTTCTTGTAGCTGCTGCGAATCAGCTGCTGTCGGGCCCGCGCTGCCCGAGGCCGGAGGCCTACAGGGGCAAGTGACGGAAGACGACCGACTGCGGTTAGCCCCGCTTCGGAACGCCATCATGCTCGACTCAGGCGCGCAGATCAGCGCAGCGCCGAGGAAGCAGGTGATCAAGCACAACTACAAGCCGCGACGCCGTTGGCTTGAAGGGTATCGGAGGCGATGAGATCGAGAGGTTCGGCCATGTGGAGCTTAACCTGTCCCGGGGAGGAGAGGTCATCCAAGTTGGCGCGGAAGTTGCCGACGCGGGGCACCCCGCTGCGGCCACAGATGCGGTAGTGCAACGAGGCCAGAGCGTTCTTTATAGCTCTGTATGTCACTGGATCATCAACGGCGCCATCGAGCCAACTGGTGGAGCTGAGTTCGTACCTCTGCGACGTCATCAGGCCAACGACAACTTTGAGTACGATTACATCATAGACGGCAAGATCCAAACAGACGCCGCGGAGGTAGCAGGAGTCAGGAAGACGCTGCCGCAGGAAGCTCCAGCTGAGCAAGCAGCTGGATCTTTGCCGAGGGTTCTCGGCCCAGCGGCGGACGAGACTACGACTGTGCAGACGAGGGTGCTGAAGTCAGCCCACCGGGTGCTGCGGATAGGGCCGCGCACCAAGGGCATCACCTACCTTTTTTTCCGCCCTTGGTGCCCACTGCGCGTGGAAGCTGGAGCGGACGACGATCCACATTGCGCGCAGGAGCCAGCGGACGAGAAGCAAATGCCGAAGGTGGTGTTCGACGCCTTCTACGTCGGGACTGACGAGGTGGCGGCTAAGTACAAGCTCGAAGGAGGCTACTTCAGCTTCCGCGAGAAGCCGCTGGTCACGAACGCAGATCTAGAACAGGCGACCCCAGTTCTGAACGTGATCGATTGTAAGATCCTGGCACAGGCGACGCTGCATGCGAACAAAGAGCGGGGCGACTACAAGGTCTCCTTCCTGACAGCTGTGCTAGAGGTCTGGGGTCACACGACGTTTGTGCTTCAGACAGACCAGGAGCTTGCCACGATAGCCTTGGCAAGTGCAGTTCGAGATTGCAGGTATCACTCTACCTTAGTGCGGGGACCACCGCCACTTTCCAAGCAGAGTGCTGGCTACGCCAAGGGTACTGGCAAGCTTGCAGCAGGTTTGCTACGGACCTACAAGCTGAAGCTAGAACACAAGCTGGGGCACGAGATCAAGATGACGGATCCGATCGCGCATTGGCTCGTAAACTCGGTGGGATGGATGATCATCAGGTTTCAGCCACGAAGCCATGGGGGCTCTTCCCACAAGATGCTGCATGGCAAGGAGCACAGTGGGGAGATTGCGGAGATGGGCGAGCAGGTCTGGCATCGGATCTCAGCCCGATTTGCTGCTGGACGCGGCAAGTGGGAGGCCCGCTTTGCGAAATGGATCTGGGCCGGAAAGAGCGAGTTGGCCAACACTCACTTCGTGATCGACCCAGAGCGCGGCGTGCAGACGGCCAGGGCCGCGCGGAGGATACCAGAGGAGTTCAGGTGGCAGCCTGAGCTCATCCAGAACATCAGGGTGATGCCGTGGAAGCACATCCCTGACAAGAGCGCAGGGCCCATCGGACGCAGCATGTACATCACGGAGCGCATGATCGACGCTCGCGGCCCGACCGACGACTGCATGAAATGCAGCACTGGATATGGGTCGCATCTGGCAGCCTGCCGTCAGCGGTTCGAGACAATCCAGGCCGACCTCCTACGCGAGAAGTTGGAAAAGGACTTTGGGGCCCCAGAGGCTACGGCGGTGGTGCCAGCCCCGGCTGCGGAAGCCCCCGCGCCTGGAGCAGCGGCTGGACCAGCAGCGGCATCGAGCGGCAGCGAGGTAGCGGTAGCACCCGCACTTGCTGCAGAAGACGTGACCATGCCTCCTGTCCCAGGAGAGGCCGAAGCACAGGCAGCCATGCAGACGGAACCTGACCAGATCAGGAGCGACTTCCAGAGAGGCGCACCAGGAGAGCCGAGGGCCGAAGTGGAGATCAAGAAGCCGAGAGTAGCAACCATCGGCATGCTCTGTCTGCGAACTGGCAGTCTGCGAGGAAGGCTACGACGAGACTTTCGACCCGATGTGGGGTCCACGCCCGAAGCGAGGTTCAAGATGCTCGGATTGGTGAGATGCATTCGTCGAGATGCCAGCTGAAGGAGTGCCACCGAGGCGAGTGCGCATGCAGGCGCTGCCTGATGAGCCACATCGGCGCGACCAGGAGTCACTTGGGAGAACCTGACGAAGAGCAGATCGAGCAGATGGTCGAGGTCAGTGCCGAGTTGCACGAGCACGAGCAGTGGAGCCCAAAGACGGTACGCAACGATTACTACACTGGAGAGCCCCTGGACGAGGATCTGTACCAGAAGGGTCGCGACGACGAGCTTCGGGCTATGAGGGACTATGGAGTTTATGTGGAGGTGGCGACGTCGACGGCGACCGACGGCAAGCAAATCGGAGGCTTCCCCGTAGCCCATCAGAAGGAAGGCAGAGTCCGGTGGAGGCTCGTGGCCACAGAGGTCATCAAGCACGGGGTGCGCGAGGACAATTACCAAGGCACACCGCCGCTCATGATTGTAAGGGCGACGCTAAGCCGTGCCGCATCGAGCCCTACTTCGACGGGAGAGCACAAGCGGATGATCCAGGTCTGGGACGTCAGGAAGGTGTTCTTCAACGCCGACTTCGGCGAGACCATCTACGTGCATCCTGGACGCGAGCTGTGCATTCCTGGAAGGTGCTGGTGGCTGCGGAAGGCCATGAACGGCACCGGGAAGGCATCGCAGATGTGGGGAGAGCTGGTGTGGGCCACCATGGATGACGGCCACTGGGACTGCTTGACGGCGACACCTAACGTGTTCTACTTACCAGCGAGCCCCACCGTCCCTGCCGTCGACGAGGACAGTCCAGCGATCTGCCACGGAGATGACGTTCTGGCCGGAGGCTACGACGAGCAGCTGGACGGGTCAGACGAGATGCTGGAACAGCAGTTCGAGGTCACAGCTAGCGCCAGACTGAGTCCAGGAGGTCCTGGGCAGACGATCTATTCAAGAGGATCACCGGGTACACCGATAAGCTGCCAGGCTCAGAGGATCCAGGTTTCTTCTGGACAGCGGATCCCAAGCACGTGTATTTCATGATTCAGTGGACACAGAAGCGAGGGTGCAAGGCAGCTCCTATTCCAGGGACGAAAGCGACAGGACAAGGCCGACGAGACAGCTCAGACCTTCTGTCCAAGGATCGAGCTTGGGAAGTTGCAGGTGCAGCAGGCACGGCGCTCTACCTCTTCGGACAGGCCCGACACGGTGTACGCCAGCCAGACTGCGACGCAGCACGCTTCACACCCCAATGTTATGATGCATGCGCGGGTTCAGCGGCTTGGGCGGCACTGCGAAGGACAGCCTGTGTTGGTATGGTGCTATTCTTTGCAGGGTACTCTTGAAGGCGTTCGCGTGGACGGAGATGCAGACTAGGCCCCTACAAGCGAATTGCAGAGACGGCCCATGAGCGGAGGAGCAGTGCGGTATGGTGAGCACACATGGGACTGCTACTCAGCGGCGCAGAGCACCATAGCTCTACGCTCAGGGGAATCCGAGATGTATGCTACAGGCAGTGCGACTGCCGGAGGACTCCGGCGCAAGGATCGAGACCGCGGCAGCCCTGCAACCTGAAGATCTACAGCGACGGCACCGCGGGACGGGGCATGTGCAGCCGAGTGGGCGTGGGCAAGGTCAGGCCCCTGGAACCGAGGTACTTGTGGATTCAAGAGCGGCTGCGATTCGAGGCGTTTGAGCTCCTGAAGGAGGACGCCACCGAGATGACGGCCGACATGCTCACAGAGTACAGCGAGTGGTCGACGATAGAGAAGCACTGCACCACTCTGGACCTCATGTTCGGGAAACAGTTCAAGGGCTTGAGCGCGATGCCAGTTTCCACGGGAGTCGTGACTTCTGTGTCAGGCGAGAAGGTGACGGTGTACGAGGAGCCAGGCCAGGCAGTGGTTTTCCCCGCGCCTGTGCCCCGCTACGTGGACAGCGAGGAGTTCTGGTTCATCCTGAAGACGGGTGTCTTCGTGGTGATCGCTGCGGTGTGCTTTTTAGGCTGCGTGTGCGGTTGCTACGCGAGGAGCTACCTCAAGAAGGACCTCATCGAGGAGGCGCTTCCCGCTCCGAGAGACACCGACGTCTATCTGGCTACGCGGACTGACACGGAGGGCAATACCAGAAGTGCACAAGGTTTTGGCACAGAGCCTCCCCCAGCACGATGCGATGGAGGAGCGAGGCACAAGCTTTTTAACACGTTTCTCGCGGTCGACTTGAAGCAGATCTTGAGAGCCAAAGGCTTGCGCGTGAGTGGTCTCAAAGACGACCATATCATGAGGCTGATCAAGAAGGGCAACGTCTTGTCGGATCGCCAGGCCAAGGAGATCGAGCAGCTGCGAGTGACGGCTACGACGCGCGGACCCCTGATCAGGATCAACCTTCAGGACTTGAGTAGCCCTGAGGCCGTGCAGCAGTGGATCGAGACGTTCAAGAGAGAGTGCCGAGATCGTCCCGATGGCTCTCAGCTGATCCACCCAGGGAGCCAGACGGATGGTCGCAGGAAGCACTAAGACAGCCGAGGCTGAGCCAACGACCAGGCTGCGATTAGTTCCGCGCCTGCCCACGGCGGGTAGCCCCGCGTCCGGGCTGATGGCCTGCGGGGAGCCCCGCGGAAGGCCCCCGAAAGGCCCGCGGAAGGCCCGCGGAAGGGACCACAAAACTGGTACCTTGCTCGCGCTTCTCGGCTGGAGGCCGAGCCGCTTCCCTGCGCCCAATGAGAGGTGCTTGTAGTTTTACTAAGATATCGGAGGTCGGGGGGTGAGATCAGACCCCCACCTGGAAATCGGTTTCGGTTTCGTGTTCGTGTCGTGCGCGCGGGCGAGGCGAAGCTGCGCGTGATCCTCCTGTAGCTAGGCCGAAGTAGGAGCGAAAGCCCGTTCCCGTCCGCCAGTGGCTGGGAGGTGTCCCAGTTGAGCCAGGCGGTGTCCCGGGTGTCCCGGGTGTCAGTAGGAGCGAAAGTCCGTTTCCCGTTCGCCGGTGGCCGGTAGGGTGTCCCAGGCATCCCGGCGTTAACGCATGTCGCTAATTTTATAATTCATTTTTTTCGGCGCTCGCGGCGGGCTTTCTTATCCAATCCAGCTTATAGTTTCCAATCCGTCTTGTCCAATCCAATCCATCTTATCTTATCCAACCCATATTGCCCCACTTTATCGTATCCCACCCAATCCAATCCACCCAACCCAATCCATCAATTCATTTGTTTCTGCGCCTGCGGCGGGCCAATCCAATCCATCTTATCTTATCCAACCCATACTGCCCCACCTTATCGTATCCCATCCAATCCAATCCACCCAACCCAAGCCATCAATTATCCGTAAAGGCTTCGCCCCGTGCCGCCGGCCCCCTCTCTCGGAGAATGGGCCATGGAAGAGCTAAGTCATGAGGCCTTGGCGCTGTCGTGAAGCAGTATCGAAACTTCATGCGAAGCCGAGTCGCAATCAGCAAAACCAACTAATCACAAGAGGGGTTACCACACCTGGCGATTGGTAAGACGTGTATGGTTTAAGGGCTTGGTTACCACACCTTGCGATGAAAGGGCCGAGGGAGTTCTCGCAGTTTGGGTTACCACGCCTTGCGATGGATGTGCGTGATGGGTTCGAATTTCAGAAATGTGGCAAATCCCTGTGTTTTTGGACCCTGACCCCGCGGATCTGCGTGAGGGGTGGCCGAATTTCAGAAATGTGGCAAATCCCCTGTGTTTTTGGACCCTGACCCCGCGGATCTGCGTGAGGGGTGGCACCGAATTTCAGAAATGTGGCAAATCCCATGTGTTTTTGGACCCTGACCCCGCGGATCTGCGTGAGGGGTGGTACCGAATTTCAGAAATGTGGCAAATCCCTTGTGTTTTTGGACCCTGACCCCGCGGATCTGCGTGAGGGGTGGCACCGAATTTCAGAAATGTGGCAAATCCCTTGTGTTTTTGGACCCTGACCCCGCGGATCTGCGTGAGGGGTGGCACCGAATTTCAGAAATGTGGCAAATCCCATGTGTTTTTGGACCCTGACCCCGCGGATCTGCGTGAGGGGTGGCACCGAATTTCAGAAATGTGGCAAATCCTCTTGTGTTTTTGGACCCTGACCCCGCGGATCTGCGTGAGGGGTGGCACCGAATTTCAGAAATGTGGCAAATCCCATGTGTTTTTGGACCCTGACCCCGCGGATCTGCGTGAGGGGTGGCACCGAATTTCAGAAATGTGGCAAATCCCATGTGTTTTTTTGACCCTGACCCCGCGGATCTGCATGAGGGGTGTTGATTTCGAGCCCCCCCAGTAATTCAGACAACGCGCCCAGGGGACGCTGGAAAATCCTGTTTGGGCCTCCCCCCCCTCGCGCGGTCAATCATCTAGTTACAGTAACCAGCAAGAAGTCAACTAGTTACAGTAACCAGCAAGAAGCAGAACTGTAACACTGGAAACTAGAAACTACAACTGGTACAGGAAACTGCGAATCACGCGCCTCGCAGCCTGGTGGCCCCACAAGGGGGACGGCGGATTTTTTGTCGGCGCCTGCAGCGGGCTTTCTAATCCAATACAGTTTATCTTATCAAATCCATCTTGTTAGATAGAGAGTAGGAGAGAGAGAGAGAGAGAGAGAGAGAGAGACAGAGAAATTCAGATATGATATCAAGGTGGCAGGCTGGAGGTCAGCCACGGTGGGCATTTGATCTCAATCCCCCCCAAACCTCCTCATCGCCCGCTGGGCGGTCGTATAGGTATGATTATATCAAAATATAATCATATTGTTTGGGCGATGGCGGGACATCCTGTAGCCCTTTGCTGCTCAAGAAAAAGAGCAGCCCTCCTTCCCCCTCTCTCCGCGACGGGGGTAGGGGAGTGCGTGCATGTTGGAATCGGATTGCGATCGTTCCACGCCGTGTTTGTTCTCAACGGCAGTGCCCTTGAAAAAGGTTTGTGCTTCAGGCTCCCCCACCGCAGTGCAAGCCGTTGCCATTGTTTTCGCCATCGCGCCCGACATTTTGCATCGCATATGCAATTTCGCACGGGGGGGCGGAATAATACGGTCGCCCCCTCTTTCGAGGGGGTGCCAGGAATGAGGTTGGAATGGAAGGGGGGGGGCGTTTTTTCTTGGTGGGGGTGTCCATGAAGGGATTGCGGGTATTCATTGCGTCGTGGATTTTTGTTGGGAGGGGCGCCAGACGGCCCAGGCGCAGTGGATGTGGATAAGCATCGAGCCTCCAGGGGCCAGATTGTTATCCATATCCACCGCGCCTCGGGTGTCTGGGGAAGGGGGCTCGGGACTCCAGGATGCAGTGGACATGGCCACACATCTTGCCCGCATCTGAGGTACGTCTACGCCGTCACGGGCCTCACCGACGCCGAAACGCCCTGCGGCAGGCGCTCGCGGTGGAGGCTGCTGGACTGCGGCTCGGAGGACTGCACCGCCACGGCCCTGAGTGCCACCGAGGCCGACGCCACGGCCGCGGCCCTCGCCCTCGAGGAGGGCCACCTCCGCGACGTGTACGTGCACTGCGAGTCGGCCGGCGCCGTGCCAGCCGGGGCTGTGGTCGTCAGCGGCTCTCGGCATACATCGAATCAGAAATTACAGCCAGAGTCCAGTATCCCCACACAGCGTCTTCTGAGCCAAGGTGGCTCCTCAGAGTGTTCACGCGTCCTCCTGCTCCTGATCCACCTGCGCCCTTGACGTCGTCGTCGAGCTGTTCGTGGTCGTCGTCGTCGTCGTCGTCGTCGTCGTCGTCGTCGTCGTCGTCGTCCTCCGCCTCCTCCGCTGCATAAACATAGACTTTCGCAGTTCCTCGCGGACATCTTGGATCTGCGCTGGGGCTCCCTTGCCGGTCCCTCCGGCGCCGCCCCTGGTGTGCGGAGGGTCAGGGAGGAGGTTTCAGCGCAGATCCAAGGAATCCGCGCGGACCTCTAAAAGTTGATGTGTATGCCGTTTTGTTTTCTCTAATCAAGCATCAAGCCCCGAGATCCCGGCGTCACATTTTTGTTCGAGTTGGGCACTTTCGCCTCATCTTTGGCCCCAGGACTTTCTATGAGTGATCTGACTCGAAGAGTGGCGCAGAAAGATTGGGTCCGGGGCTCTGGTTGTTCTTGTTAACGATCTTGCAAGTTGCTCGCACCGTCGCATCTCAGGGAAGCAACGAGGCCCTAAGCTTCTTCGCCGTGCTCGGGCTCCTCGAGGCCTTCCCCGGGCCCCAGGGTTATCGAAAAGCAACCCGGGGTGGAGGACTGGTCCCGGGGGAGGGCCCCAGGTTCAGGGCCCGCTTCCCTCGAGACCCGCTTGTGTAATGCCCAGGTTCGGGCTATTTCTTGCACGTGCACTCGAACGAGTACAACGTGTACGACTTCACCGATTGGGTCAACGCGCACCCTGGCGGCACGGAACAGATCATGCGTTGGGCCTCGGGCGATTTCCAGCTCGAGTTCCCGGCCAGCCACGCAATGAGCCGCTGGGTGTCGGCGCAGTCCTCGTTGCACTACATCGGGAGGCTCGGCGACACTGTCGACTTTGAGGTCCTCCCTGTGGGACTTCAGGCTGCCTGGACAGTCGGATACGAGTCGTGCGGGTCGCCTGGTGAGGTGGCGAACGATCCGAGTTTGGGGCACCATTTCAGTCTCTATACAGACTTTAATGCGGGGTACACCGATACAAACTACGAGGTGCCATTCTGGGGCGTTCAGAGCAAGCTTTCCAGAACCACGGTATGGACCATGCTGGCGCTGGATGCAGACGACCAGCTGCGGCAACGGGCAGCTTGGGCATTGTCTCAGATCTTGGTGACTAGCATAAATGGTGTGTCAAGTTCTTCAAATCATGCGGAGGGCTGGTTGGTCTATTACGATATATTCGTGCGGAACGCTTTCGGCAACTACCGGGACATACTACGGGAGGTCACTTACAGTCCGATCATGGGTGAGTATTTGAGTTACCGGAACAGTCGATCGTTGGACTCCGATTCGTCGTACCCCGACGAGAATTACGCTAGGGAGATAATGCAATTGTTCACGATCGGCTTGTGGGAACTCAACCTGGACGGCACTAGAAAGACCGATGCAAGCGGAAACCATGTGCCCACATACACGAATGAACACATCATGAGCCTTGCGCGCGTCTTCACCGGCTTCAGAGAACAGGCCGCGCGCCCCAACATCGAGAACACCGGGACGAGGAATATGGTGGACCCGATGCAGATGGTCGGGGATTGGCACGACGTATATCCGAAGCCGGACTTGAGCGGCGGCTATTTGGGTGACGGTTACCCGCTATGTTCGGACCTCCCGCCACAGGCATTCCTCCTCGAGGGGGCGAGGTATGAGTTCAGGGGGTACACCTACGCGGGAACCGACGTGCTCGTGCTAAGTTCCAGTTCGGCACTGTATGCGGCGTTGGAGCAGATCCAGTTGACCGTTGAGCTCAGCAGCACCATCGACTGCACGGGCGAGAAGGAGTGCGTCGCAGATAGCCTCCATGTAGTCCAGGTCGGAGAGGGCTACTACGAGTACGTCCCGCCGACTTGCGTGCACCTCTACTTCTACAACGGCCAGGTCGTCAGCCCCGGCAGCGCGAACGATTTTGGAAAAGAGTGGAAGGAAATTTGCATGGACCCCAATTGGATGGGCGCAGGGACGGCCTGCTGCAAGGGCTGTAGCAACGTTGGCACCTCGGGGATGGCCAACCAAAATCGCACTTGCGAGAACATGGCCGAGACGTGGCCGTGGGTGGTGAAGACTGGCTGCCCGCAGGTCAGCGACTGGTGGGTTGAGAACAAGTTTTGCCAGCTGGCCTGCTGGGAGCTGGGCATGGGGTACGCTGGAGACGACTGCTCGGACGGCCCGCTTCAGTCGGAGCGCGTGTGCGGGTACTACCAGGAGAAGGTCCGCTTCGAGGCTGCCAGCGCGAGGTGCGAGAGCCTGGGCATGCACGTGTGCGAGCAGGGGACGGACGGCGGCGAGTGCGGCCACGACGACATCAACGTGTGGACCCCCAGAAACTGCACCGTCAGCCTGGAGGTGCGGGAAGATGGCCGAGTGGCCTCCCAGTGGGACAGCAAGACGATGCAGAATCCGTTCCCCGTCACATGGGCCGATGGTTTCCCGACCACGGGCAACTGCCCCAGCCAGTGTGCGCAAAGTAGCTCTGGCTGCACCTGCCCCATCAGCGTGGTCGCCAAGGCGGTCTTCGACGCGGTCCCGAGCAGAGCGGAGCTATTGGGCGAGGGCGCGCGCCTGCGCATTGGCGCCTTCCCCCCCTCGGTCTCCGCATTCTGCCTGGCGCCCTGCGACGGCGAGGTAAAGGCGTACGCGTCCGATGACATTGGGCATGTGGACGAGAGCACAGTCTTCGAGTGCGGTGGGGTCTACTACAAGAACATGGAAAGCGCGGTGGACGTGGCGGGGTATACCTTCCGCAACCCACCTGTGTTCATGCTGGCCAAGGAGCTGACTGGGCGCTCGGTGCGAGCAGACGAGGCCCTGGCCGAAGTGGAGGCTCTGCTGGACCACCTTGTCAATCATCCCAATGTGCCGCCGTTCGTGTCGCACAGGCTGATACAACGCTTTGTCACGTCAAACCCGACTCCGGATTACGTGTCCGCGGTTGCCCAGGCATTCAGCACAGGAGAATTCAACGGGGAGACGTACTCCGGCGAGTACGGAGACCTCGGCGCCACTTTCGCGGCCATTTTGTTGCACCCTCAAGCTAGAGGGGGTTTTCTTGACAGTTCCGTGGGCAAGTTGCGCGAACCCATTATCAAAATCTTGCATTTCTTGCGTTCCATGGAGTATGTGGATCTGCGGGATCGCGAGATCGTGATGCGGAGCTTAGATGACGACATCGGCCAGTGGCCGTATGCGTCGCCTTCTGTGTTCAACTATCTAGTGGCTTTCGGCCCATCCCGCCACCAAGCCTGGGTCGTGGATCAGGGGTCTCATGGAGTCTCCTTGCACGGCCTCTAGGGTCCTCTTGGACGGGCGAGCTCGAGGGTCAGTGTGGGGTAGAGGTATCCAATTGGCAGTTCGAGTTTCCCTTTTGGGCCATCTTCGGCCTCCCTTGGAGGCCTCCTGGGGCCCTCGTGGTAGACAGTCTTGGAAGACGCTTCGAAAACCGACAAGGAGCGCTTACGAACATCATGAACGTATTTTCTTTGAGTTTGGGCCCCGTGGGCCTCTTGGGGGCCTCGAGGACATTGTTGGGCGTCTTGGAGGTCTTGTGGTCCGCCTTGGACGTTTCCACGAACGACATGCCAGTTTTCTCAAGTCGCACAAGCACGAACAGGTTGTCTACGAGTTGTTGTCTCTCGGGCCAGTTCCCCCCCAAGGGCTTCCAAGGCGACCTAATAAGCCGCCAGGAGAGGCCCAAAATTGGGCCTCTGTGGAGCGTGTTATGGCACGTGGGAAGAAGGACTCCGAACTACGCGCTCAGCGAGGGCTCCTTGAAAATTCACGCGGGGAGCCCCAGCGGGTGCCAATGAACGCCAAAAAGAACCCAGATATTCCAGAAATCCCGGACCTGGGGCGTCTAACGTTAAAGAGTATTTGCAGCATTCAATACAAACCCGTACGGACCCGAGAACACCTCACGTCGTGCCTCATTGCAGGGTGGCGGTTTACGGAGTGGAGTACGGGCCAGCTGGTCTCCACACCAGTTTGGTTGCGCCAGAGTTCGAGATATTCACGCCGCCGTTTGCGCTCGCCTGGTTCAACGGCATGATGTCGTTGGTCGACAATGGGCTCAGCCAGTGCGACTACGGCTTCGGACAGACGATTCGCACCTGCGTCCGGCCCGAGGGGGAGTTGTTGTTCTCTGTGTCCGAGAGCAGTACACTTCCCAACGCCTCGTTCACGGAGGTTTCTTTGCTGCTTACCGGCGGGCGCATCGGCAATGAGCAAGCGTTCGAAGCTGCACTCGAGGTTTCGGGGGACGGCGACCCTCTCAAGGCGGCAATGCGCGCTGTGCTCATGTCGCCCGAGTTCCATGCTCTGGGCGACCCTGACCTGATTGGAACTCGCTCCACGACAACAGAGGAGCCGCCCCAGCAGCCAGACTCGTATAAGGCAATGGTCATGCTCTACCTCCATGGGGGCGCAGACACTTTCAACATGCTGGTGCCCACCTGCGACACTCTATATCAGGAGTATCTCGACGTACGGCAGGACGTCGCGCTACCTCAGGGCAAGTTGTTGGGGATTTCGGCAAGCACCCAGACCTGCAGCTCCTTCGGTGTCCACCATGGCCTCCCGTTCGTCCGGGACCTTTACGAGCAAGGCCAGCTGGCTTTCGTGAGCAACATCGGCGCTTTAGTACAGCCTACCACGAAGGCTCAGATCCAGGCCAAGACGGCAGTCGAGTGCGCGGGCCTGTACTCGCACATTGACCAGCAGAACGGTGGCATGACATTGCAGTGCCAGGTGCAGGGCGTGTCCCCGAAGGGCTTCGGCGGGCGATTGGCTGACGCCCTGGCTGCCGAGGACTACTTCACGACCTCTTTCTCGCTTGCAGGTACGTCCACTTGGTCGCAGGGGCAGACCATCGGCGTGGAGATAGTGGACGGCAGGAACGGCGCCGTTCGCCTCGAGGGGTACCAGTGGCTGCAGGATATCGTGGGGAACGTCACCAACATCGCGTACAACAACGTTTACTGCGAGGAGTACGCGCGGCAGTTCGCCAGCGCGGTGAAGTCCAGCGAGAGGCTGGGGGCGATCCTCGACTCTTCGGAGCTCGCGACGTCCTACGACACCAGCACCGGGTTGGCCATGCAGCTGCACCAGGTCGCCCGCCTTATCGCGACGAGGACCCAGCGCGGGGCAGAGCGGGATTTCTTCTATGTGGAGTTGGGAGGTTTCGACACGCACGATTGGGTGAACGAAGTGTTGGAGGAGAAGTTCGCCGAGCTTAACGCTGCCCTGGAGGGTTTCGTGGCCGAGCTGAAAGGCCAGGACATTTTCGACTCCACGGTTCTGGTCACCAGCTCCGACTTCGGGCGCACGCTGACCTCGAACGGCAAGGGCACCGACCACGCCTGGGCGGGAAACCATTTCGTGTTGGGTGGCAGCGTCAATGGCGGCCACATCTTCAACCGGTTCCCCGAGTCTCTGCTGGAGAACAATGCCCAGGATGCAGGACGAGGAAGGCTGATCCCATTGTACCCATGGGAGAGCATGATGGTCCCGATCGCGGAGTGGCTGGGCGGGCAGCCGTCGTCGTGGAGTGCCGTTTTCCCGAACCTCGTTCGGTTCAACACTTCCGAACACATCATATGGGGGCCCAAAGAATATACACCACCACCACGTCGATTCTTCCTCTCTCCTCTTTCCAGCGAGAGGGAGGGGGGGAGGGAGGTGGTGGTGGTGTATACTTTTGGGCTCCCTATCATAAGCATGAGCTCCCTGTTTTCGAGCTACGACCTCGTCTGAGACGGTCGAGTTTGTCCGCTTCTGGTTGCGGCGCACGGTCGGCGCAGGCCTGCTGTGAGCCATCGACCCACAAGGGCACAGGGGGCCACAGGAGGGAGGAGGGAGGAGGGAGGAGGGAGGAGGGAGGAGGGAGGAGGGAGGAGGGAGGAGGGAGGAGGGAGGAGGGAGGAGGGAGGAGGGAGGAGTGGAGGGAGGAGGGAGGAGGGAGGAGGGAGGAGGGAGGAGGGAGGCCGGCGCCCTTCTCCTGTTCCTCTTCTGTCATCTTCATTGGAGCATGTGGCATTTTTCCTCGGGTGCGTGTAGTGAGGCGCTTCGATTGCAGGGGTGCTTATTATAGAGGGTGCTATGTCGCCCTCTTATGAAAGCGACAAAGCTAGGCAGGTTCCAGCATTGTGTGCCTCTATGGCTCTTTACTGTCCAGTCGTCTAGGGGATGTCTGGATATCTCCGCTGGTGGCCCTCACCTGATCTCAGAGGCTCCAGAAATTATCCAGCTGCCTGCAGCAAGGTCGACTACCGTGCCAGCGCAGCACTTTGTGTAGCAACGCTTCTCGCGCCCCTTAGAATGCCGCAACATGTGACGTCTCTCGTCTCTATTGCAGTACTTGAGTGACTATCGTGGGGCCTACCTGGGCCGTCTTGGAGCTGCCTTGAGCTCCTGCTGTGCCGCCTCGGGGTCCGGCTCGGAACGTCTCTTAGGTTGTCTTGGAGCCGGTTGGGGCCATCTTCGACCATCTTGGGGCTCGGCATGCTTGGGGTCTTCTTGGAGAAGTCCTTGGCTGGCTGGCTGGAGCTGCTTGGGGCTTCCATTGGGCTTGTTTGGCTTCCCTTTGGTCTTGCCGAGGCCATCTCGGAACCATCTAGAACCCTAGAAAGCCCAACATGTTCAAAACAATGGAACGAGTCACGTAAGTTCTCAAGTTTCCGAGGCACTCCTGACGAATATCTCGGCCTTATCTTTGACGTATGAGAATCGTATGGCGGCTTATGTGGCGCCCGAAAGGGTTGTCTTTGGCGCTGCTGGGTTCCTGGTGAGAAGCGTGAGGCAATATTGGCGGCCGTGGTGGCATCCCTGAGCCGTCTTGGATGAGTTCGAGAGCCTTTGAGAGCGCCAGGGAGCAGTTGGGCCGCCCTTGGACCCTGGGCAGAGGGTGGGAGGGGGGGGGGGGGAGTGCATGCAACGAAGCATGTCGAGAGGGGGGAGGACCCTGTAAGATTTGGAGAAGCCCTACCGTGCAGCGCTCGGCATTCTACCAAGCGTCAATGTGCCAGGGGTCATGGTGACGGATTGCTGCGAGCCCGTTAGCAGTTGGCCGATGGAGAGAGATGCTAGACGCATGGATGGATTCCCCTCTGGCAGCGCCGACTCCTCTGTGAGTGCGCATGCGCAGCCAGGCTATTCTCGACGTGCCAAGGTTGCCCCCGCAAAGCTATGCTAAGCCTCGATCAGCCGTGCAGAGTCCTCACTCGCG